AGTAGGTAGCATAGGGTGGCTTAACCCCAAGGAAGTAAGACCCAATGAAATCCTAGTATTTTTGGGAGGTTAGTGGATCCCTAGCACATGTGAGTCGGCTACACATACCTAACTTGTAGATAGATTGGGGTCGACCGTCCCAACCCAGAGCCGATCTGTGCCGATGTCGTCAATACATGTACACGTATATAGAGTTTCGGGACTGAATTTAAACATCGTTAGGGACGTTACTGCCTCTCAAGTACAAGCTTGTCTGAGCTCCAGGGACACCTAACTAGACCAATTGAATCATTCTGACTGTATTCTGGATCCCACATTATCCTCCTTCGTCTTCCCGGGTTCTCCTTTCATGATATATAGCACGCACGCGTGCCGCCGCAATTGCGCATCATGGCATTGATGCACTCTCTCCAGAAGAGTGCTGCATCTTCCGCACGACTCGCTATTAGATCACGGTTTCAGAGAACTAGTCTTCCGTTAGTAGTATCGAGATTAGCTTCTACCACGTTTCCAAAGGTGAGTCTTTCCCGGCCCCAAGAGCCTCGCATTGATATCGGAGGGGAGTTGACCAGGCAACTTGACAATTCAGCTCAATGACCCGTCGTTATTCAAGACGGATGTCTGCTACGTAAATGGCGAATGGGTAAAAGCCGCCTCGGGCAAGACTTTTGAAGTCTATGACCCCGCGACAGGAAAGCTCGTTGGAACGTGCCCCGAGTTCGACGCCAACGACACTGACAAGGCTATCGCAGCGGCCGGTGAGGCATTCAAGTCCTTCCGCGCGAAGACTGGTCGGGAGCGGTCCAGGCTGTTGCGCAGATGGTACGAGCTAGTAATGGAGAATTCGGGGGACTTGGCAAAACTAATCACGTTGGAGAACGGCAAACCTTTCGCGGACGCAAAGGGAGAGGTCAATTATGCCGCGCAGTTCCTCGAGTGGTTCAGCGAAGAGGCTCCGCGAATATACGGCGATACGATACCATCCAGCGTGCCCGGCAATAGAGTAGTGACACTGAAGCAACCTGTTGGTGTTTGTGGGCTAATTACGCCATGGAACTTTCCCGCCGCCATGATCACGCGTAAGATTGGCCCTGCCCTTGCTGCGGGTTGCACGACAGTGTGCAAGGCGCCAGGCGAGACACCGTTCACAGCACTAGCATTGGCGGAACTTGCGCACCGAGCTGGGGTACCAAAGGGTGTCGTGAATGTCGTGACCACCCTGAAGAACACGCCCGAGGTCGGTAAGACTATGACAACGCACCCTACGATCCAAAAAGTCTCGTTTACGGGCTCTACGGGAGTGGGGAAACTCTTGATGGAGCAGGCTTCATCGAGCCTGAAAGTCTTGTCTATGGAGCTCGGCGGAAACGCACCATTCATTGTATTTGACGATGCCGACGTCGATGCCGCGGTTGCCGGTGCCGTCGCGTCCAAGTTCCGTTCGTCAGGACAGACATGCGTTTGTGCAAACCGCATCTACGTCCAGAAAGGCATCTACGATGAGTTCGCTCAGAAATTCGCCGAGACGGTCAAGGGCTTCAAGGTGGGCCATGGTTTCGACGAGGGCGTTACCCACGGCCCCCTAATACACGATCGGGCCGTAGCTAAGGTCGAGGTCCACGTGGGGGATGCCAAGAAGAAAGGCGGAAAGGTGGTCGTGGGCGGCCAGAAGCTCCCGGATCTGGGATCCAATTTCTACCAACCTACGGTGATCACGGGCATGACGAGAGACATGGCCATCGCGTCTGAAGAGACATTTGGCCCCGTTGCCGGTCTCTTCTCCTTTGAGACGGAGCAGGAAGTTGTGGACCTGGCGAACGCTGCAGAGGTGGGCCTGGCCGGCTACTTCTTCTCGAGAAACCTGGAGAGGATAAACAGGGTGGCAGAAGCATTAGAGGTTGGCATGATAGGCGTCAACACGGGTCTTATTTCCGACGCCGCCTCGCCATTTGGAGGTGTCAAGCAGTCTGGATTTGGCAGAGAAGGCTCCAGGTACGGCATCGAGGAGTACCAGCATATTAAGACCATCACATATGGCGGCATGGGCAAAACATTGCAGAGCTGAAAACGTGGTCGGGTATTAAGGGAGCAAGGACACGTAGAGATGAATCGATATCGCATCTAATAGTCAGACTGTAATGGAATTTGTTAAAATCTGATTTTCTCGTCGTTGTTATTAAGTATATTTGGCACACGATTTTACCTACCGGAGTTGGGTTGGGCGGAAACCCCCATTTAGGTATACGGGCCACTCGCTTTAGTGCATACCCTCAAATTTCACTTTGATCGCTTATCCTCGAAATTTCGGCCGCGGGACCTCAAATCGCATCCAATATCACAAACCACATCCATTGAGCCCGATGATACGCCCACCATTCAATTCGGCCATCGGCCGCACGAGAGCCGATCTCAGCCGAGTCACAGACGGCATCGCAGCCTCGCTGCGCGCATTCTCCACCGCCCAGCAACTCGCCGCGCCGCCCCCAGACATTAATGGCGGGAGCAACGACATCACCCCCCGACCGACGGGAAGGCAACGTGCCGCCGCGGCATTCTCCGACCTCATGGATCTGAGCAGCGGGAAATCATTGCGGCCTGCCGGGGGGTCGGCCACCGTCTTCAGAGCACTCGACCTACGGTCCGATTCCACCTCGATCGCAGTTTCCAAAGCCTCCCTCCTCGGCCGCTCTCCCGTCAACGTCATCCGTGGCGGCTTCAGAGGCAGAGGTGGATTCAACCGGGGCGGGGCGGGGATGCGAGGTGGGCGGCCCGGCGGCCCAGGTCCAGCTGGTGCCATGGGAGCTGGCCGTGGTCGGAGGCGAGAGGGCGGCGGCGGCCGGGGGCGTCGCAGACGGGACGGAACGGAAGATGAAGACGACGCGGCTCCTACGGCAGAGGGCGATTCCCCCGAGGTCCTCGCCCTGCGAGAGGAGAGGGAGATCGGCTCGGCGCAGCCGTTCGACCCTTCGATCTCGATGCGCGATCTCGCAGGCTGGGGCCCCGTCGTGGCGGTGGCCGGATCGCGCGCCGCGAAAGACGACACGGTGATACGCCAGGCGGGCATCCTCGGCGGCGGACAGCCGTTCCATCCCCTCAATTCCTTCTCGTCGGCCGACATGTGGCAGCGGTATAGCGAGGGCAGCGGCGTGTTTTTCCCGAGCGAGGACATGAAGAACTACGCGGCCGGTTTGATGGGCGTGGAGGCTTTCCCGCCGGTTCCCACGGAGACCAAGGATGCGGTTCTCCAGAGCGCGCTCCTCGGCACGTACGACGGCCCGCAGTACGCTGACCTCGACGATACCCTCGGCGCTGTGCGGAACTACGTCAGGAGGGACGCCTCCTGGCACTCGGATGCGGGGCGACGTATCGAGGAGAAGGTCAGGAGCCTGCTACCCGGTGGGAAGACAGAACCGGCGAATACTAGCGGTGGAGCGAGGGCAAGCGCTTAAGAGACGAGCAAAGCTTTTCCGAGACTATCAACGCTGAAGACGTGGGTGGAAGAGATACGGAGGAACGAATGAATGGCTTCATGAGACGTCAGTTTTCGGCTCTTGCGCTAGCTGTATCATAGCACTTTTGAAAAAGAGCAACCCCATACATATAATGTACATGTGTAACCTAACACTTCGGTATCTATTTTACGTCTTCGCCTCTGGTGCGAAACTATGCTTCTAGACAACAGTGCTATGCAGCCAACGTCGCTCTCGGCAAACATCTCTTCCAGGATGTGCACGACGAGCCAATATACCGCTCTGTTTCTACTCCGCGGCCTTGACGGTGGCCTTCTCAGCATCATCAACCTCGGCAATAGCAGCCTTGATGAGCTTGTCAAGGTCCTTGTCGGCAGTCCTCTTCAAGTCGGGGCCGAGCGTGCCGTCCTTCTTCCAAGTAACGTGCAGCTTATCCCTCTTCTGGCGGACGGCCCGTATGCGCTCGCGCCACTCGTGCGCCACGGCCTTGATCCTCTTGACGAGATCCTCGGGCTTCTCGGCCTCGACCTTGAGCACCAGCTCGAGCTCGTTGTCGGGGTCCCGCTGCGGCTGCTGGTTGAACTGCGGGCTGCCCTGCACCGCGCTCATGATGGGCTTCACGTACTCGCCGTCGTGCACCAGCAGAGAGACGGTGCGTCCCCCGCGCGGCACCACCTGTGCCAGTTCGTGAAGCGGATACGCCTCGCCGCTCTTCTTGTCGACCGTCACGCGCAGCCCGCCGATCACGTCGGGATCGAACCGCGCGCCCGTCTGCAGCTTCTTCAGGGCCGCCTTGAAGTGCTCGGCGTGCTTGCGCAGGCGAGACTCGACGTCGGCGAAGTTGAGCGGCTCGTCGGGAGAGGGCTGGGGATGCTTCGGTCCATCATCCTCGGCGCTGCTCTCGATGGACTTCTCCGTGGATTTGCCTCGTCCGGCGGGGGCGCGCTTCTGGGGCTCTTCCTTCTTCTTCCCCTTGGACAAGGCCGACGACGCATGGAGGCTTCGCACGCCGCTCACGGGGTTCGGGGAGGATCTGGGAGCAGCGGATGTGAGGAGCGGTCGTCGTTCACGACGCTGGCATGTCGGGCGGGTGCTGTAGGGAGCCGCTGCACCCACGTTGGTTGCGCGCGCTACCTTACCGTAGCTCCTTTTGAGAGCGTTAGCGAGGAGACTCGGGGGTCGGTTGAACGGACATACACTCTCCCGGTCTGGGGCTGTACGAATCCATGTCGCAACAAGGTACGGGCTGCTGCGTTGCTCATTTTGTGGTGTTATATCTCGGGGCGGAAAGCTGTTTGAGAGCGACTGGCGAATGCCGATTGTGCCTACTGTAGATTATGTAAGTTTGATAAGATAAGAGAAAGTCGACTCATCCAGCAAAAGTTAATCTAAATAGAGCATCCCTTGCTTGAAACCCACAATGGCAAGGAAGCTTACCCCGCTGAATATGATTGGAATAAAAACGGAAGGAGGAAATGTTCAGAAGGGAGAGAGAGGCTGAATAGTTGTCATAATCTCCAAAAAAAAAGTTGTTCTCGCCCGGGATCGAACCGGGGATCTTCTGTGATCGAACAAGTTCTAGTTTGTAAGACAGATGCCATAACCACTAGGCCACGAAAACTACTTTCGTTATAGTATGGAGAAGATGCATCCATATGCTGTTGGGAAAGCACAAGGCACAGCACACTCTGCAACATCGATATCCACACTATTGCTTGACACTTATGTAGCGAATCTTTGCCAAGTTGCTATTCAATGACTAGGTAGGTAGATGTATATACTTCCGTCAGCCTATCTAGGACTATGATTACCATGGCTGTAGAGGGTCCTGATACACACACACACCGTCCATAGCACTTTGCTCATAGAACACAAACCGAAATTCGCCCCTTTCCCCCCCTTTTCCGGCAATTAGTAGCGCTTCTAACACTAATACACACCATCCCGGCTACAGGAGACACAACGGTACAACTCAACTCAGTCTTGCCGTCGGCCCCATGTCGTTAAGGGGACAGAGGTGCTGTGGTCCAGCACTGGTATGATATTATCACTCACGCTTGACAATGAAACTCATCTCCCTTTAACCTTTCAAATGGCGTTTTCCAGCGTCGCAGTGGTGAGAGGGCTCCTGACAGGTCCATGGATCCATCAATGGCTTTCGAGGCCAAGAGGACACGGAATAGACTCTTGCCGATTTCTATTGCTTTTCTAAGATACGACAAACCTTTCCCCCACGTCTAGGAACATGGCGGAACTTCCTATATTTCAAGCAACCTTCTGTGCACGGTCAAGATACCCCCCAAGCCTCAATACCGACGCCAGCAATCAAGATCCTCTCTCCGTTTTCCGTGTCCCGTAGTCTCTCGCCCTCTTTCCCATACGGCTCCCTCACAACCTCCAGGTCCCCTGCGTCTGCGACACCGCTATACCGATCGTCGAGCAAGTGGACCTTTGGAGAGCCAGATCTCCAGTCAACGAGGCGCCACGTCTTGACGCGCTGGTCGTTGCTCGCCGTGGCGATCACCGCGTCCCGCTCGTCGTTTTCAAGTCGTACTATTCCTAGACCTGTTACGGCGGCGGCGTGCGCGGAGCGGACGATGAATTTGCTGCGGATCTCGTACTGCGCTTGCCCCTGGTTGCGAGTATGGGGCTGAGGGACGCGCAATAAATCTTCTGTTTGGGTTGGTTCTGGGGATAAAACTGAGACCGAGCTATGGTGGGATAAGGGGGCGGGATTCGTTGTAGTACTGGAGCCTGCATTCACATGTTTTACAGGTATCGGCTCGGAGGATGGGGATAAATGGGGGGAGTGTAGATGTAGCACCCCGATTGCATCATCGTCGCCGCCCGTAACAACGAGGTACGAGGTCCCAGTTTCTGTGGCGATGCTACGCATATCCAGCGATTTAATGGTGCTTTGGTGGAGCTTCGTGACAAGTATGTCCTTCGAATCCTCGGTCTCATTCCCAGAGGCATGTACATGTGTAAATATAGCTAAATGACCATCGGTGGCAGCTGCCAGAACCTGCGGATGGCATCGATCAGGGAAATTCAGATGCCTAAGCTGCATGAGACATGCGCCCGTATATATGCGCCTCCCTAACAGCCGAAATCCACGCTGCGCGGAGTAGAGATAGCTTTGTACCGTCGAGTTCGAGAGCGTCATCGAGATGCAAAACTCCGGTTCTATCGGCGACTTCTCTGATTCGACGGGGATATCCTTAGCTTCGTCATTGGTGCTGGTGCTCTCATTCAAACACTGTACATCAAAATCCGTGATCCGTAAGTCGCCCACCTCGGAGCGATCAGGGAATACAGCCTCACATACGACGCCGAGCGGACAGATGTCGCTTTCCAGGGCCGTGATGCGCCAGACAAAGAACTCCTCGTTTCCGGCACTACTGAAGAGATACTGATCTTTATACCACTTCAGTTTCTGAATGCCTGTATTGTGCTTTTCTAGGGCAAGCACACAGCGAAACTGCTGCCGTCCGCTGTTTCTCTCCCCAAGATCCCATATGCGAATCATGGTGTCCTCGGCGCCCGTAGCCACGTACTTCCCCAAGGCGGCCGACACGCCCTTGATCTCACGGCCATGTCCGCCCATCTTTAATGGCAAATGCGGCGTGCGCATCTGCGAAAAGATTTTCATCTGAGATGCTTTTGTGCAGATGAACCTGAAGCCACCGGGATTTCCCCCTATCTGCACATAATCGAACACACGATGTCCACCGCCGCAGTCGATTGTCGCGACTTCGTTTTGTTGCGTCGCATTCCAGATTACGAAGTATCTGCTTCGGAAGCCGCAGAGCATGAGGTCTTGTTTCCCATCGCCTTTGTCGAAAAGCCATGACCCTTCGATCAAGGGCCCAAATGGTGGTTTCGTCTCATGCAGCAGACGGACTTGGAAGTCATTTATCGTATCGAGGATTTCGTAGATCCTATATTTCCCATTGCGAGCAGTCGTGAGAAAATAAAGAGGGGAATTCTCGGAGTGCCTAGGGAGCGGAAGAATAGAGGTCACTTTATCACCAATGTTAACTTCCATAGTCAGAAGAGGAGCGCAACTCCCGTGAGTAACCAGTTGGAAGATTGAGATGTTCCCGTCTCTAGAGCCAAGGATGAGATAGCTATGACACCACGCGGCAGTTGTCACGATGAATCCATCAGGTGTGTCTACTTCTGTTCGTTGAACTAAAGCGTGGTTTTGATCCAGACGGAGAAGTTCCGCCTTCGTACTCCCGAATACCGTAACAAGAACATCGATATACCCATTGAACTCTCCTTCAGAATGGCACCCGGTAGGAGGAGATGAAGCCCAAGTATCGGAAAGGGAGATGATTTCTGTAATTTTCCGCTCCGCTTTGTGAATCGGCCGAAGGGAATCGCCGCTAGCCTCGTGATAGTAAAATAACTCGCCGTTAGGGGCGCCAATAAAAGCTGTCGAAGCTCTTCTTGAGCTTCTAAGAATAGTATATGATTGTATGGTTGTCCGGATTGCATCAGAGATTGCAAGCTCTTTCCACTCTGTTTTGCCGTTGAGGATACCTAGAAAAAGGCGGCCTGATCTTGTCGTAATGAGTAATCTATCATCCGTGATGAACGTGAAACTTTGAAACATCTCTTTCCCATTTCCATGCTTAAAATACGGGACGGAGAGGGGAGTTCCAAGGCCTTGGTCTTCGCATGTTTCGATAAGGTATGTTGGGGACACATCAAGTTCTTGAATAGACTGCGGGTGATGACCGATGTTGTCCGCTGTATCATCTAGGGTTCTTGATGCATAAGCAGAGGCATTCTCCATGAGTGCTATCTTGCCATCCCCACCGCCAGTACCTATTAGAAGACCATTTTTATTAACAATCATTGCGTGCGACCAAATTTGTTTCCCGCTATGGTTTGAAAAAGTCTCGTGGTGCATCAACTTAAAGGGCGGTCGGATCAAGCTGTTTGATACGCCTATCTTGGGTGTTCCCGAAGTGGCCTGCAGGCCCGCGCTTAGCTCGAGATGCCACCTTTGCATCGTAGCATCTTCGCCAAATGAATAAACTTCAATCACATCTCCTCCGGAAAGAGGAGCCAGACTGTTTATCTCGACTTGCCATATCCTGGATACATGACCCATAGCCATTGCGATGCACCTCGAGGGGCTATTGGCAAGCCCTATTGAGCCAGTGATGGAATCGCCAAACCCAGTTTGCCTTACGTCGGAGATTTGTGTCTCGTACCTGTTGTCTTCACTCGCAGGTCCATCACTTCGTTCTGTAATATCCCAAATCCGGACCGTCCGATCGTCACTACAGCTCGCGAGCAACCGGATTGTTTCCCCAGTGCTCGTGAGTATCTCAGGCGAGATGTGAACACCGAAAATCGAGCCCTCGTGGCCCGAGAACATGAATAAGACCTCGCAGCCGACGGTTTCGCTCCCTTCTAGCGCATCATCTGCCCTGGCACCATGATCACCGCCGTTAATATCGACAATGGGGCTAAGGTGGCACTTCCAAACCACAATCTCACCGAATACGGTCCCTGCAGCCACGAGCACACAGTCCCGCTCGACCCAGAAGAAATTTCCCGAGTATAAGATCGGCCGCGAGGGTGACTGTACCCGTCCTAACACAAGCGTGTTCTGATCTGCGCCTACGTGTCCCTGGATGACCTCATTGTGCGCCGTGAGTAGAACAATGTGGTTGCTATCGAAAGGCGATACACGACCGTCAAATATCCAATCGGGAGCTATTGCTTCGACCGCGGCGTCTACTAATCCAGATTTCTCGCGAGTGTCGCCAAGCGAACCATCGCCACCCCTAGAGCTAGCAGAAATCAGCTCTTCAACGACGCGACCAGGCAGTAGTTTAACAGCATGGCCACCCCAAACGAGGATCTGAGGGGGGGCTCCGAGAGCACTGGAGCTGCTGATATCGTCCTCAGCAGCGGGAGGCACAGAAATCCCGTGGATAGGTTGTGCACCGAAGATATGTAAAGTACCACAAAGCCGGGACGTCGCGACATCGTAGATCTTTATATCTGTGTCTTCGGCCGCGAGTAGGTATTGCCCCTCACCCGAGGTGAAGAACGCCAGCGCGGTAATAGGGTTTAGCACATATTCACGGTGGAGTCGGCCGGGAAGTGCCGCCTACAATTAACAATAAGTGTTAATGACTGCGTTCTATACAAAAAAACATGTTCTTTTTCATCCGTGACAGCTGTTATGCTGGAACTCTGGATTTCATCGATTTCTTGGCGATTTGGTGGGATCGTGTGTTGTGGGGCCGTGAGGAGGATTTTTCCTCTCTTGTCGGACAAAAAACAAGGAGACTTACCTCATGAGACATTGCTCGAGCAACCTCATAACGGTATCATGCGCGACTTCACAAGGTGGATGGCGAAAGAATATGGCTTGCCTATCGGAAAAGTTGTGAATGGGACTATCTTTGCAAGTGCAAATGGGCCTTAGATGTTGTTCAGACCCAAAGCACGTGATTTGCGCTATTGAATTTGTCTGATCGATCGTCGAAGCTTCACCTAACGTTTATGACACATAGTTGAATGGAGTTTTAGAATGTAATCATGTATTTCATTACGGTATGCATCTATCAAACGGTCCGGGTATTCATCCCC